CCACCCACTGAAGCCCGAATGACTCACCGACTTGCAGATCGTTGTCGATGCAGCTGCTGTCAAGCAAAGCAATGCTCCTGCAGGAGGGCAGGTGGTTCTTATCGGCAGCGGGGTCTGTTCCGCCGCTGCTGCTGCTGTTGGAAACAGTGTTGGCGAGAGAGGCGCCACCACCAGCAGGAACCGTGGAAACTACGGTGGCTACCCTGCTCGAGAAACACTGAAACACTGCCTCCACCCGCTTGGAGGGTCACTTCTCTGCTACCGCCATGCTGCAATATCCCGCAGGGACTCCGGCGTCTGTGTCTTGCCCAATGGCAGCACTCTGAACACAGCATAAGCTGTGGCAAGGGCAGAAGAGAAAGCGACGGCAGCGGAGGAAGCAGCAGCAGTGGCCGACAAAGGTCCCATGACACAAAGTGCCATGCCGCCATCATGGCCAGCATCCACGCTGCCACCACCTGCCCACTGACCCAGCCTACAGCCAGCACCATACCTGGGTCTGCAGCAAAGGCGCTTGGTGGGGGTAGGGAGATCTCTACTCTTTGCCATGATTGGCTGTTAGGAGCAGCTGGCAGCAAGGCATGGCTGCCCACGGGGTGCTCCTAATGGCAAGTTCCTCCCCACCCTTCCCCCCCCATTTCGCATGTTTTAAAATAGGTCTAAATTTTGGGGGAGGGCTTAATTTCACCTCAAGCCTAGAAAATATGCTAGGCCTTCCTATGGGGGGCGGTGTATTGTTGGAGAAACATTGTACATCATTTTGTAAACTTTAAATTGACAGCAATACTGTCTCAAAAGAGTTTCTAGGATCATGTTTGTTATGGCCAAAATGGGTAATTTTTACTACTGCGCAGTATTAAAAAATATTGAGAAGATTATAATATGTTATAATAATATATGAGCTGCTTTGCAATGTCAATATAAAATAGTTGTTCAAGAACTAAAACATTAGAAGTAATGTTTTCAGAATTCTAGTTTTTCTTAAGGTTTAATAATAGATTTCTTTAATAATATATAATGAACTACTTTCTTATGCTTCCTACCTAACAAATAGCTTTATTTTAGTGAAACATTGCAAAGTATGTTACTTTCCAGTAGCATACTCCAAACAAGACCCTAGGGGGTTAAATGTACTACATTTAAGGAAACTCTGCTAAAGTAATTAGGCTACCAAATTTGACTCGCATGACTGTATTTATAACCTAGGAGGAAATATTTTCCAGACTCCTAAAGCCTATTTTTGTATCAATGTTAATCCTTATAGTTCTTGGCTATTTTTTTACGAGGAAAACTGGATCTTATGTTGCTTTAAATATATACTACATAAAAAAGTATAAATACAAGTGGCAGCAGACTTGTGAAACTCTACCCAGTTATGTGAGAAGTGCTATTGGTCTTGACACTTTGACAAAATTACATGGAATCAAAGGCATTAATTGATTATAGTTTAAATTTTATACCAGGCTCAAAATCTCTAGGCAGCTGTCATGTGCGGTAATTCTGCACCTGATTTGCTTTGTTCAGAACTGCAGTGGGTTTGTTTTTAATATTGTGCAGGGTAGAAACGTGCTACTGAATGCATTTTGAAAATGATCAGTTAGTTTTAGGTTAAACCTGTTCTCATATCAAAATGACCCTGGTCAGTATATATTTAAGCACACTATTAGTATTTTCACACTAATAATATTTACAAGGAAAAATTGCAAAAGACGTGCAGTAGTTGATGACTTTGGAGATACACCCAAACAGAGCTACTATCTGATATATTTGTGGTGTGTATGTGTGTGTGTGCACGTGCACACCATTTGTAACAATTCCTAGTCACCTTTTCTTTTGTATGGCAAACACTCAAGGACTACAACTCAGGATTTATTTTCTTTTGACATGCTTGTTGAAAGGAAATTCTAAATATTGTTTTCTTCCCCTAGAGTTCCACAGAGACTTCCTCTGCAGTTTATTTTTTATTTTTTGGTAGAAAAAAGTGTGCATTTTTGTTTCCCTATTCAGAATAATCCATATGTAGACATGTAAGATGAGCAGCTATTAAAATTTATACTCTGAATGAAGCATTTCCAGTCAGAGGTCCTCTAGTCATTGCAATGAGCTTAATTTAGTTTTAGCTGAGTTCAAATAATAGCACTTGCTAATATAAACAACCAGAATTGTGGAATCATATGATTGAAAGGGACCTTGGAAGACTTCTGGTTGCAGAACAAATTATCCTATACAAATGACTGTACAATCTTTGAAGCCCCTTCAGTGATGGAGCACATATGACTTCAGGAGGCAGACTGTTCCACTAATATTCCTCTTTATTTTGAGTTTGGATCTCTCTCTGTAAAACTTCCACCCATTAGTTGGCATGATCATTGAATGAAATGAATGAAAAGTATCATTAGTACTTTATGCTATGGGCACATTAATAAATCCAAAATAAAAATATGATCTGCTATATTTAAGCATGTTTTTAAATTCCATTCAATTAACCTGTCAAAGATATATGAATCTCATGATGTTGCATGAACACACCTACAAGAAGTCAATTGGCAACAGTTTGAAATGTTAGATAGCAAGCTTTTGATTGCTTTTGGTAAGGACATGATGAACTAACATCCCTGGAAGAGAGGGACAATATTATGGCTGAAAACAGTATCTGTATGCTATACTGAGACTGCAGTAATCTCCCTAGACAAAGGAGAAATCTTGAAATTGCCCATATATGTTCCTGACAGTTGATTTTCATGAGAAGATGGAAGGAATTGAGATTTTTGTGGCTGGCTTGTAAATATTTAAGAGTATGAGATTTCTTCAGGTTTGTGGCCATCAATGTAGCCTATAGAGACATAAGATTACTCTGAGCCTCATCTCTTAATCACTTTGGATTGAATTTTTAAAAAAAATTCTCTGCAAAGCTTGAGAACCTTTGGAATGACAAGTTTTATTTGATTTACTGAATGAGTTTTCTTCATTCCTGTAAGAAAGGAGTTTTAACTATGAGTAAGTATTTGCAAAAAAATTTACAAAATATTGAGCAAAAGGGTGATTAGAGTGTTTATTTTAGAAATTTTAATGGGTTAAGAATCCAGATGGACTCTTAATTGTAATTGTAATTAATTGTAAGAATTCTTCCCAGGGGAAACTATCTATGTTTGTAGCTCAGAGTTGAAATGAAGGGTCCTTGGTGCTCTCTGAGCTTGGTTCACTTGGTGCACTGATGTTACCTATGTTGGATAATGAAACATCTTTAAGAAAACAATCAAGAGGGCACCAAGGACCCCTCAAAAATGATAGAACCAGAATCTGATTCTGCTGGAAAAGGTTAATATGTGGTCAGAATTCAGTCTAGAAAGAACATAATTTAATTTAGTGCTGGCAAGGAAATTGCCAGAGGTGGAACTTTTCCTCTTGAGTGGGGTCACGTGCCTAGATTTGGCTGACATGCAGTAACATGGAGTTCTGCCATTCTGTTTCCTGATGCTTTGAATATACATCTGTAGTCCTTTCCCAGGACTTTTAAAATCCTATTCTGACAGGTACTCTTAGGAAATTAAAGTCTCCAAAATAAACCTTTCAAGCAGAAAGAAGTGTGCACTTTTCTGCAGTTGAACTACATGGATGTATTACATATTAATAGCTAGTTTATTAAAAGATATAAAAATGAGGAAAAATAAATAAATATCCCTGCTATGTATTCTGTTCCACTAAAAGTAAGCTCTGTCACAGCTAGGAAAAGAAACCTGGGTGTCTTTCAGAAGTTTCTGATCTACCACATTCATTGTACCTCACCCATTGGCCAAGAGATATGGGGTCACCAAAATTTTAATTTAGCACATTTTGAAAACTATTGGTTTCTTGCTTTTGTCACATGTGAAAAGCTTTTTAAAATATTTGAATTTTAATCTATTCCTATATTTAGGAATATTGTGAATAAATGATATTATGATCCATGGAAAGCTTGGCCATACATTTCAGTGTATGACCAAGCAGAAAAGCATGTTTTCTCATTTTGCTTATTGGACTGAAAATCCATTGGACAATATGTAGGATACGAGATTGCAGAGCCCTCAATACGCAGTTATTATACGTATGCCTGTATGAGGAGGTACTTGAAGAAGTACTGACACCTGGTGCCCTACTAATGTAATTACATGGAGCATAAAAATCATAAACAGGTTAGGAGGGGCGAGACACACAAACTTGCCCTCCTTTACAAAAGATAGCAGACAAATCTATCCTAAGAAAACTCCAGTATTAGCATAACTTTTTTCCAAAAGTATTTGGTAAAATACTGGTGGCTGCCCCTCCTTACTTTTCCCTAAAACAGAAAGATAAGCATTCTGGCTCCTGATAGTTTTCAGTCTATGAGTCAAATTACAATTAAAAAGCATTTGACAGATGGTCAGGAAGAAAGAATAAAATAAACAAGTTCTTGGGTTCAGCCTTAAATATCCACCAAGTAGACTCCTACAATACAAAGGATACAAAGAATTTAAATAACAATGACTAATATTCTCATAGATGTCACAGTGGACTTCAAATATTACTGGGCTAAAGTCATTTAGATTTTTAAAGTGGCCAATTTTCAAATGAAAAATATCAACAGATAATTTTCTCTGCTGTTTATAAAATAATTATTTATATTGCAAGCAGTACAGACACTATAAACTTGCAATCTGTTATGTATCTTCGAATCCCAGTAGCTACCTTTCCAAGATATTCAATCACTTTGTTAATAATGTCGTATTTCTTTCAAAACAAATGACATTGTGTATGCTGTTACATTAATGGCTACCTGTTATTTCTGATTTGCATTATATATTTTAGACATTGCATTACATTTTCTAAGGCACTGTGAACCACATTCAGAATATGGTATGTGGTATGCAAAAGAAATAAATTTATCTCAGTTGTGCATTCCAGAGGCATTAATCAATTTGAGTTCAGAACTATCAGGGTTACTTGCAGCTGAAACAAACAAGACACAAAATGTGGTTACTTACCAATCTGTGTGGGGGTCATCAATTATCAAGAGAATTTGAGGTTTCTGTTGGGCTACAGGGGCAGGAGTTGCTGACTGCTCTATGAGTCCTGCAGCTGCTTGTGTGGTTTGCTTCATGGCACTGGAGATGGAGTTGAAGATGCTGGTACCAGAAGAAAGAGCAGTTGGTTGCTGTATTGGCTGCTGCCTCCTCTCTGTTGCTGGGGAAACAGGGTTGCTGGTGGAATTATCTGGACGCTGAAGGTCCATCATATAACCATTTGGCAAGTTAGCCACAAAACTACTGTCTGAGAGACGCCTTCGCAGGAAATTCATTCTGAAAACTTTCCCAAAGCAAGGTCGAAGAATGCAGATATAGGTTCTAAAGGGTCTATTTGAGTTTTTACAAGTACGATGTCCCTTTCTTTAATTCTCACCTGTGAAATGTAAGAGAAAACTCTTTTGAATCAATCACTAGCAGGCGAGCCCTACCAGAAGGCCAATAAGACAACTGTTTCAGGAGTCAGGTGATTGAAAAAGATAGCGGTAAGAGCTCTTTTTGTATTTTCCAAAGGAAGATAAAGTGGCGTAGGCCATGTGGTCTTGCCCGCAGTTCCTTAGCTCACCTGTTACCCTTGGATGTTGTGGGGAATGCTCCCATGCAGTTCTAGTAAAATTCAGAAGATCACCATACACTGGCAGGGCAAAGAAACATGGATTTAATCATATTACAGAAACAGCAAAAACATTCAAAAACAGGCTAAAAATGAAAAGTAATGCATTACATCTAGGCAAATTAATAAAATATATAGGTATTTCACAAGACTGTACAGGTAAATTAAAGTCATGAATTGTTGTTTATAGATAAGCAACTTGATTAATTAAATGCAAAATGTATTTAATGATTTCTTTGGCCCACACTCATAAAAAGTCTATTCTTAGACTCAACATATAGACTGATATAAAAGCAAGACACTAATGCTTCGATGCACTAGCATACATTTTGCAGGAACAATTATGCTCCCAAACTATACCTTTTTTGCCAAGTATATTTTTATAAAATTTTGATAGCTCACTATTGAATGTAGGAAACATTAAGTTGACTTAGAAACCTGTTGATCTTTCTTGCATTGAAAAGAATTATAGTTAGTCATGAAATTGAACATTTTTTAAGAGAAACATCCTCCGGCTATTATATTTTGGTATATAATTTTGAATCTGTAAATACTTTTTAACAATAGGAACAACTTTTCTTCTGATGATAAAAGAATCCTATCTTGGTAACTTAGTGAATTGCAAAAACCTTTTGTAATGCCTACTTATCAGGGAAGCCAGAGGCAGTTCAATAAAAGCCAGCAGTGCCAGAGAAATAAATCTTTTAAAATTACAGAAGCTATCTACATTTTTCAAAGCCTGCCTAAAATGATGCATTGTTTGTCACTCCCTTTTGCCTTTGCATTTCTTAAATAAAAATTCAATTTTTAAGATGAAACATGTTGAAGGCATTCTCATCCCAAAAATATAGAAGAAAATAGAAGATATGGATGCAATCTAATGTAGAAAAACAAATATGTACATTTTTAAAAAAAATCTGAAAACAAACATGCTGTTTTTATTTCTGATTTCTAACTTTTGTGTTGGATGGTATACAATGTAATCAGTATTTGCTGAGATCTAGTCTTAAATCAAATCAGTTGATTCTAAAGGAAACCAATCTTGACTGTTGCTTGGAAGGACAAATAGTGACATTGAAGCTTAAATACTTTGGCTACCTAATGAGAAGAGAGGACTCATTGGAAAAGACCCTGATGTTGGGAAAGATGGAAGGCAAAAGTAGAATATGACAAAACGTGAGTCTTTAAAGAAAAAACAAAAAGTCCAGTTGCCCCCTGAAAAAGCATCTTTGGGACATCTATGACCTGGATGATTGAGAATCTCTACAGATTTTTAGCCATTCAATTTGGGATGAACACCCTTCGAATGGTATTGGAATATGAATGTATTTCCAGAAAAAAGTGCAGACTGGAAGAACCATTAGCACTACTCAGGTGACTCTGAGGACACAGATAAACCTTCAAGTGCTTCATCAATGCTCTAAAAAGATGCACATGACCAGCTATCTGCAAGGAATATAAATCATTCCATTCCACACCATCTAATCAAAGATGAAACTCTTAGATGAGAAGCAAAATGTCTTCAAAGGAAAAATGAGAAAGTACAGTTGCCCCCTTAAAAAGCACCTTTGGGATAATCATGACTTGGATAATTGAGAATCTCTACAGACTTTCAGTTTTTCTCTTATAATAATCTTCTTTCTAGATTCACCTTATTTTAGTCTTGACCTTGTTACCCAAGGCCATGTTATATGGTCCTGCTTGGAAGATTGTTTGATTATCTATCTATCTATCTATCTATCTATCTATCTATCTATCTATCTATCTATCTATCTATCTATCTATCTATC